TAGGTACGTTAGTACCCCCCGCCAGCCCCCCCCCCCCCATCATCAGTTTAGGTATAGAACATCCGTAGTTGTGTTCCTGGGGACACTTTCCCAGCCTAATTTTGTACTGTCTGTCTGAATTTGATGAAATTGTACTGATGTAATTTCCAATCATAAAGTATCTGCAAAGTTTCCAGCTTTGATTCTATATATCTGCAGTTAAACATTTTTCAGAGAAATCATACCAAAGGCTCTTCTTGAGAAAACCTATCCTGTTATTCGCCTGGGAATGATTTTTTCATCTTCGCAAACATAGCGCATAAATGTAAAAGGCGATGCATTTGTTTTCAAGAAATACATGTGAGAAAACAATTTTGACGAAAACCCAAACCGAAAAGTATAAAGAATTGGACTCTATGTAATCGACTTATGTTCTCTTTTCACTGCACATAATAAAAATTAAGATATTTCATTTCGAAGCCCTGTGAGCTGGTGGCTTTGATTGAGTTGAAGTCGCTGCTGATGACATTACTCGTAAACGACCAGCTATCTCTGTGAAAGACGGTCTTGCTATTGGGTTTGGCGCCCAACATTCCTCCATTAGTGTTCTCCATTCATCGTCACAGAAGCTTGGTATGGTTGGCCTCAGTGTGTTGTTCACAATCCCACCTGTGTTTTCACATTGAAGTCATTATCATCCTCTTAAAATTTCATACTGACAACATTCCAAAGAATGAAATAATGAACAGGCAGAAGTCTGATAGACCATGGGTTACAAGCACGCACCTATTATGGCGCCATAGTGCATGTTGGCATAAGGTTCCTCTCCGGTTAGGATCTCCCACAAAACGATACCGAAGGAAAAAACATCAACCTGCAGGGAGAGAACAAGAATATGACAGGTCTTATAGTTTGTTTGCATTCACAGTCAGTATATACTATCAGGCCATGCAATATGATCCTCATCTCAAGAAACGAAACACACAATTCACCTCAGTTTCTCGTAAACGAGAAGATAGGTGAATCTTGCAGAGGATTCATGATTCAAGCAGTTAAAGTAGATATTCGATAGTCACTGAGCATCTTATCATATTAATGTTTACCTTTTCTGAAACTTTGCTGCTGCTCCCGTTTAGAAGCTCTGGTGCCATCCATGGTAAGGTTCCACGTACACCACCAGATACCAACGTATTTCTCTTGATTTTTGAGAGACCGAAGTCACCAACCTGATAACGTACAGCATGTGGATATTAAAGCAATTTATTCTAACATCATATTGACCTAAATTTATCTACGGGAAGGTCTAACAAATCGTGTTACCTTGCAGATTGGGCGAGAAGGATCTTTCAAGTTAACAAGTAAATTGTCACATTTCAAATCGAAGTGAACAGTGTTTTTGGAGTGTAGATATTCCATTCCAAATGCAGCATCCATGGCAATGATTAGTCTCTTGCGACGATCAAGATGCCTGATAATGTAAAGAAAGAAAATTGATAAGATTTCATAAGTCAAACGAACTGGAACCAATCAACATGAAACTAGAGAACCAAATAAGTGGAACTTTACCTGTCCTTCCGGACCAGAACATGCCTCAAAGAACCATCAACCATGTACTCTGTCACGGTTGCCAAGGTCCCCCCAGGCCCGTCTTTTACAACACCATAAAATGCTACCACATTTGGGTGATGAAGCTTTGAAAGAATTTCAGCTTCCCCCCAGAATTCACCAGTCTAAGAATTCAGATATATATCAACCAGTGCAACGTGACAAATTAACATGGGTGCATGAAAATTAGGCATGGCAAAAAGGGAAATACATAAGACATGATCTGCAAACAACTCACCAATCTCTCTTGCTCTGATGACCGCCCAGCAAAGCAACTCTTCTTTATCCTCTTGATGGCGACATCTGATCCTCTCCATTTCCCATGATACACCATTCCGAAAGTACCAGAACCAAGCTCCTTCAACTCCTCGAGATCTTCATTCTTAATAATCTAGTAAGAGTATATTATTAAAATATATGCAGACAAAAACATTGAAAAATAGTTCAGTAGAAACACTAGGAAGATAAGAAGCAGATAATAATTTGACAGAACTACCGCAATGAGTATATAACAAGACATACAGCAAAAATAAGAAACTAATGCAAGCACACTTGTCGGGGGGTTAAACATAATGCTGATCCTACCTACAAATCTGAAACTGTAAGAACCACTGATATGGACCTCAACAAACCATTTCCAATGCAAATATAGTAAAGAGTTTTATCAGGAGTATATTTTCAAAGTTCGTACCTGCAAGCCACTGTAATCAAACTCTGAGCCAAGTGGAGGAACCGCAGCATGCCTTGTTTCTGTCTTTTCATCCTAGAAGTTCTATCCTTTTCAGAAAAATAATTGATTTGGAAATTAGTAAATAAAAACTACCACAGCTCATACCTTTGGTTCAATATCCGGCGTCCTAAGATTATCCACCATAGCACCAATTTCCTCACTCTCTGTGACCTTCATCTGTTCATCCTCTAGAGCAGGGAGAATGGTGCTAGTGCCCACCCCGTCCCTTTCAGAAAAATTACCCCCATACTCTTGACCTAAAGCCAATTGAGGGTTAACAAGGTTTGTTGAAATACCATCTCTACTAAATGGCAAAACATGAGGCAATCTGGAGCTCTCTCTACCATCTTTGCGGTCAGATGGAATGTGAGGATCAGCTTGGTCAACTGCAACATCTCTTTGGCTAAACTGTTCTCCAGCCAGCTGCTGAAAATATGACCAATTTTTTCGGTCGTGATTCTGCACATTCATGCTAACAGTAGCTCCATCGTGAGGATGAGGATGGACAGTGGATGTATCCTCTGAGATTGCTTGTGAAAATATTTCAGAAAGAAAGTCACGAGGAAACCGGTCATTGATATCAATAAGAATATCTCCCTGCAGTGAAGCAGAGCCATGAGCAGAAGCTTGTTCTTCAGGGATAACACAACTCGTGGTTGCGTTTACATGGCTCAAGTTGGAAACACCAATTTCAGTATCTGCCCCATTGACTACTATGTTCTTGTTTGCATCGTCAGGATTTACAATCTTGTGCAGGGGATTGGATTCCAAAGTTTCATCTGACACCCCAACTTTTTCAAAGACTTTCTCCACATCTTGATGCTTTTGGTGAGTTACATCATCATTAACATTCTCGAATTCGTCATGTGACTTTCCAACTGCTTCTTTTCCTGAATCTTGCTGTCCGGTGTTTGCTTGTGACTGAGACGTTACAAATTGAGAGCCCAGTGAGTTATCGGACTTTGACAAACGATTTAGCAATTCTAGCTGTTCACGAGGTATTCTCTCTGAACGATATACCCTCTCGGGAGACTGCACAGGCTCCGGATAGTTAAGATCGATTAAATTTGACTCAGAGTCGTTATGAACAGGGCCACAGGTACAGCTTGAAGTTGAAAGCTGATCTTCATTACCAGATAGAGGAACCTGCCCAGCAATAACAGCATCACGGTAGGTAGCAGGCTTTGTAGGGGAGTTCTGCCGTGGGTCTCTTCTAGGGGGCAGTAAATGTGCCTCCTGGCTAGGTGCAGTTGTTGCAACTGACACCTCCCGGACCTGATTGTGATTCCTCACCTCAATATCATCTATTCGGGGAGGATTCTGGTGATCATTTGCCGGAGTTTTACGGTTTTCAGGCTCCACATGCTCACGAACTTTCATAACAGGTGATACTTTTTGCTCCTCTACTAGCGCTTCTGTGCTTTGGGGCATGGTGCCAGTGTACGGATACCCATCAGCCAAGCCAACTTGCTGATTGAGATGCCCTTGGAGTGGTATGGAACTGGTAGTTTCCCCAATAGCGGAGTAATTAGAACTGTGGTCAGGATACAGAGGAAACCGTTCTCTTTCTCCATGTTGAGCCACATGCCCATAATATTGTGGATATATTCCATAGGAACTGACAGAACCCGGGGTGATGGATTGCGGATACTGGAAAGAGGAGCCTGGCGTAATAGATTGAGGATACTGAAGAGGGGAACCCGGAGGAATTGACTGAGAATAATGAAGAGCAGAACCTGGCTGAACAGATTGCTGTAAGTGGTATGCAGCATTCGGCGGAATAGATTGAGAATAATGAAGCGATGAGCTTGGTGGAATAGACTCAGACTGTTGAACGAACGATTGTTGGAATCCATCTACCATCAACTGTGATGCGCCAACTCCTCCAACATCTCCAGCAATAGTATTGATCCCTTCGGTGTTCCGCACATCAAGCTCAGCTAAGTTGTTTGCTGAAGAGCTGTCCAGACCATGAAGGATTGAGTTCTTTCCTGATCCAATGTCCATCCCATTTACAGCTACAACATATTGAAACTCAGAGTCGCCGTCACTTTTGTTAACCCCCAAAAGAGCATCATCCATATCACTGATAGAGAACACAAACATCCTAAGCTTCTGAGAACCCCCACGATTTTCCATCTCATTATATTCTTCCAACATATTCTGGAGATCTTCTTCACATGATACAGACACCAACGCGTCAAGATCTTCACCAGGAAGCTGGTACTTTACAACATGTGTTTGGTAGTAGATTTCAAGGATTTTCTGCCTCAGCTCCAGCCAAGATATATCCTTTCTTATGGAAATTATGTGTGTTTCACCTCCAACATATCGAAGCTTTGAATCACCTGGACGCGGAAGTATTTTCCCACCGAAACTGCAAAGGATTTTCAGCTTTGCTCTACCTAAGGCTGAAGAGGATGTGTATCCATGTAAATTTCCTACACTGATATCTTTACTCATTGACGCTTGTGGTGCTGACTGGACATGACCAAGTTTATTTCCAAACTCGTGAAGCGAAGAGTTTGTCCTCTCATTATCCCTCATGCCATTTTCCACAGTGCTGAACCTTGAGACATC